ACTTGGAACTGAAGCCCGCCTGCTTTAAAATTTTAAAGATGTACTTATGACTAATAATATCAAAAGTCTTTTCTTGATCAAAGGAAGAAAGGCTTCCACTTAGGTTGCGTGATTTCGACCATTCTATAAGGTCCCTGATAGCAAAACCATGAAGTTGGCACGATCTACCTTGGACACAACACGCCTGGTATGGACCCAAAACAGTACTGAGCACTGAAGTGAGTCGAACGGACAGGCACTTAGCTATGAGCTTGTAGTCACAATTCAGGAGGGTGATGGGCCGCCAGGCTCTCAGGTCGGTGCGTCTCGTCTCATCCTTGCACAGGAGAGTGATCCCCCCCTCCCTTTGAGTTGCTGACAGGGTCCCCTCACGGAGAAGCCTGTTTGCTAATGTGGTAAAAGGCCCCCCCAAAACCTTCCAAAACTTGACATAAAACTCGACTGTCAAACCATCTGAACCTGGGCTGCGATTATGGTTCATGGATTTAAGGGCTGCCAACACCTCTTCTTCGACGAGAGGAGTGTCACAAATATCAAAGTCCTCGTGAATATGTGAATGGAAAGCTTCCCATTCCTTTACTGAACTCAAGTCAGTCTTCTCAGGTGTTATATACTCGCTTTGCAAAGGCTAATAACTTCCTCTTACGCAAACCCGAGACGAAATATGACAAATTTATTATAAAATTTTCGTCTGTATTCTTGTGGAATTCTTTACCTTCGGAGATAAAAAGTAGATCACTTGTAATGTTTAAAGAAAGCTTGTGTTCGCACTTACTAAATTCATACTGCTTACTATTATATGGAGTGTATTATTGCATTTTTTTTTGTTCTTTTGCACTTATCTGCATTTTTTGTATGCATAGTGCTTATCTGTATTTTATATATCTCAATTTATTTTCCTCATCATCATAATGCTTGATATTATACTGAGTGAATGTTATTGCATTTCTTATTATTGTCTTTGTGTTTATCTATGCATTTCGTATATTTTATATGCTATTTTGTACTTATCTGTACATTTACGTGTTCTGATTTTTATATCCGCACCACTGTTTACTTTTGTGTTGTAACTCTAATGAATGATTTTTTAGGAGGTCTCAATCACAGTCTTGCAACTTTGAGACCTCCTTCTGTATTTGTAATCAGCACATGCAATGTATCACTTGTATTTCAATATCGAATAAATTTCAAATTGAATTTCAAATATAGTCAACATCCCATTACCCCTTCAGTCTTGTAATATGCTTCACCTGACCGCATTTTCGTATTACGGCAAAGCTGCCTTTTAAACTTTTCAAAGGACAAAATAAAGTTAGTTAACGTCCCATTATAAGTGACTCCTTTTAATTTGTAATATGCTTGACCTTATCACACTATCGTATTGCGGCGAAGCTGCCTTTCAAGCTCCGTTACGGTCATTTATTGATTTAACAAGGTGGTTCCAACATGGTGATGATAGATGTGACAGAGGTGGCGGTTAAATTAATGATTTTTTTGTTCATTTGTTTAATACTCTCGAACACAAGTGGGGCTTTTTACAGGAGTGGGAAACACATACAGTCTACAAGATAGCGTGCCCTTTTATACTGAAATTTCAGCAAAATAAGTGGCCATTAAATACGATACAAAATAGAGACATACAGCGAACAAAGGCATGAACGCTTACATTATGCTCAATAAATCAAATGCAGACATGTACCCTTACATTCGGCGCATTGCAAACAATAATTAACAAAGAGGCAACATACACTGACACCATGAAGACAAGAAGAAAAAGTAATAAAAGTTAGTGCTATGATGCATTTGTTTCAGAGAAAATAAGTGATTCTAAAGCTGCTGAAAAAGTCGTGATAGAGGAAGACATCACAACCGAGTTTGGCAGTTTGTTCCATTATTTACTTGCCTTCGGAAAGAAGCTGTGTTTAAGTGTGTCGTTTCAGGTGACTGTACTTACAAACTGCGTTTTTCTACAGATCCCTGCTCTGGACACAGACAAAGAAATCTCATGAGTTATTGCAACCTGATTATGAATAATGAGGAACAGAAATTTTAAATATTCATACTTCTAAGGCTGAAAGGTTTGCACGGTTTCAAAGTTCGGAAGCACAGTGTATGCATTGATATTCGTTGAATAAAAACCTGGCAGCCATCTTTTGAACTTTGTCCAGTTTATATCGGTTGGCGGAGGAATTGCGGTCCCATACTACTTTAGAATATTCGATTATTGGTCATACTAGCATTTTGTACACCAGGATTTTCACTTAGGGGGTCTTGCCACGTAACCTTCACCTCAGGCACCACAGAGTTTTGTTTGCCTTTCTACAGGTGACGTCTACGTAGAGTGTTATACTTCATGTCCGGAGCCTTAAATATTTACATTTTCCGACTTTTTTCAGTTCGTGGGGACCAATATTTTAATTATATTTGAAAGGTAATCTTTTCTTATTATGGGCATGCAAACTGATTTTATGGGGTTTGAAGTCACCTGCTATTCATCACACCAACATAATATTTTTTCTATGTTGTTGTTCTGGTCTAACTAGTCTCTCAGAAATGTGATCTTGTTATATATAATGCAGTGATCCGCAAACAATCTTGGTGGAACAAACAAGTCTGAGGGCAAGCCATGAAAATAAGAAATAGTAGGGGTCCCAGAACACTGCCTTGAGACACGCTGGATCAAACGGGTCTAGATGTCTATTTAATTTTATTTATTTCTACGTACTGTACCCCTGAAATCTGGGCAAGAAGTCTGAAAAATTGGATGCCATAGACTTTTAGCATCCAAAATTTCAACTCTTGTATGTTGATGAGGCAGATTCGAAGCTCCTAACTTGAAGGAAGCATTACCTTGTCTGCTACATCAGTTGAGCTTCCAGAGAAGTTGGAAGAGGCTGAGGAAACAGCCGTTTTCGTGTAAAGTGTTGTGGCAACACTTTCGTTGCACCAAATCATGCAAATACCACTTGGCTTCTGCATTGCCTCATTCTTGATAAGACAACGTAGTATCACCCAGCAAGAACTTCATCAATCTAGTGAAAAAGTTTCAGAAACCTGCAAAGACCTTGGATATCAGGGGGACATGGTACAGTTACCGCACAACCTTTAATTTTACAGTTTTTCGTCACCCACTCTCAATATAGATTCCTTGGCACAGTGCTTTATCTTTGGTTGCAAATAACGCAGTCCCAAATCGTCAATGAAAATGTTCAACTAACACAGTGTCCTCGGGCTCTCAGTTACAAAACTCGTAATGCCCACAGATGTTGCGCCAACACACAAAAGGAGTAGTTCTAGTTCGGCGCTTGTCCTGTGTCCTTCTTTTGTGAGTTGTCTTTCACGCTGCATTTTAAATCAACTCGCACAGCCTCGTACACTACTACGACCTCTCTTTACTCGACATACTAAACTGATCAATTGAATAAAGGAAGGAAGTTTTGAAGGCTTGCTTTTTTTTTGGAGCACATTTTCATTAATTATTTGATCAGACAAAGTTTATGAAAAGGCAATTTGATCTAAAATGCAAATACAATGTTTGTGAGACCCGAGTTTTATAAATATATATTTATTGTTGTGCCACCACCAAATTGATGATTAAGTGGAGAAAATTAACGAAAGTGCATCTGGTCGAAAGCAGGGGCGTAGCCAGGGGGTGGCACACCGGGCACATTTTTTTCTCTATGGCACAGACATCGAAAAATGGCAAGGAGCCTCATTGAAATCAAGGTGTCGCCTCAAAAACACTTTAGAATTAACACAGATGTTCCGGCTCCCATACAGGGGCCTCGTTCACAAGAATTTTGTGAACGATGCCCCTTGCACAGGATCCGGAACATCTAAAGTGTTTTTTGGTCGGCATCTTGTTTATACTTTTTGACCAGTCTAATCAAAATCTGCAAAAAGAATAGCAACATCTCCGTCGCCTTTGTCCTGATCAAGTGTCCTCGTCCTGCTTTTTTGTCATCGTCACTGGCACATACGTGCGACATTGTTCTCCTGCAAAAAAAAAAAAAAAAAAGCAGCTTATTCCAATTATGCAGGTTCAGGAAGTAGAGAAAGAACGTAGTCACTGAAGGAATGGCTTCATCTGAAGCACGCGAACAAGTTCTGGCGAACGTCTTCGACACTTTGAACACTGCTGGCAGTCCAGAATGACCTCGTAATTAACGACACTGATGGTGCACATAACCTTGTAAGGTCCAAAGTATCTCTGCAGCAGTTTTTTGGAGAGCCCTCGAAGACACATGGGTGTCCAGACCACACTCTCAAACCCAGAATATGTGTGAGACCAGTCTGTGCCAGAAATTGTACTGCCGGGCACCGCAGTCCTGTTGTTCGGTGATTTGCGACCAGGCAAGTTGCCAAGCTTCTGCTCCCTGTGTAAAGACTTTAGCGTCCGTCTCATCTGCATCATTTTCATGGGGGAGTGTTGCGTCTGGTGCTGTAATATCACGGCCATACACTAAACTAAATGGCATCATCCGAGCGGTCTCCTGGCGAGCCGTGTTGTAAGCAAATGTGACGTAGGCTAAAATATCATCCTAGTTCATGTGTTCTATATCTATGTGCATGCTGATTATGTCGGCCAGGGTCCTGTTGAGACGTTCAATTAGCCTGTTATGCCGTAGTGTTCTTGTGAGCAGTACCACTTAGTCGCAAAACGACGTTTAAGAGCTTGGCTATGAATGCTGTACCGCTGTCAGTGATAATTATTGTGGGAGTGCCATGTCTTAAAAAGATGGCTCTGATAAAGAATTGCGCTGCTCCAGCCGCACAGCTCCTGTCTCAGTGTATTGGGCAAAGTAATTGGTGGCAATGATTGTCCACCTGTTTCCGGTCATTGACGTAGCAAACAGGTGGAGACGAGTTGCTAGAGAAAAGAAACACTTTTTTGTTGTTATAGCTCATAAGAATATGCTTAGGAATCCTTGCCAATTTTTTCTCCCTCACAATGTTGCATTAAAATAAAGGAGAAATACTTGAAGAATATTCGAATTCTCTTCGCACCAAAGATTTTGATATTTGCACAGCTCTACAAATAAGTAGGGATACACCAAATCGCACAAAAGGACAAAAATGACAATGAAAGGACAATGTTGCTTTAAAATATAGGAGAAATAATAGAAGAATATTCAAACTCTCCTTGCACTAGAAATTTTGATATTTGCACAGCCCCACAAACAAGTAAGGATACACCAAATCGCACAAAAGGACAGAAAGCCGTGAAGATCTTCAGTGTGCCATCATTAGCCATTAAAAAAAAAGCATGCACCTTTAGGATACATTTATTTTCGTCAAAGTAATGAAATATCTGTCAACAAACACTGGCCGAAGCTTTAAAAAAATATAAAAAGAGTTTGTAGGAGAAACAGGTAAATCATGCACACAGCAGATTTCTTTCTGGGATAAACACTATGAGAACTTCCTTTTTCATCAGAACCGCAGCTTATTAACAGCGTTACTAGCAAGACTTTTTGCGTAATGGGACATTATAGGAAATATTCTTCTAATAAAAAAGCTTGTTCCTGACAAAGCTTGCCAGAAGAAGTGTGTGCAGTAAAGTGGCTTGTTTAGAAATGACAAAAAAGAAAACAAACTGTACTAACAAAAATAACACCTAAATTAGGTCTGGCATTAAATCAGCCTGGTCACTCAGGGTAAATAATGGTAAATCACTAAAACACTACCTTGTTTAGCCAGTACGAATTTGTCAAATTATGGGGAAACAGACAAAAAGCAAAATAAACCGTGCCAGCCTGTTCTTTCGCCCTCTGTGTACCGAGCAGTATGACAACAAAAGATGGAACAACAAAGTAGAACATAAAAGTTGGTGACAAATGCGATGTCGTCACAAGTACAGTGACTGTAGCCTGTGTAGTAATGCTAAATTGAGTGCATAAATAACAAAATAGTAAGGAGCAATAACAATTGTTAGCACAGACACAAAGAGGTCAATGGCTAAAAACGCACGTATGGGTTGAGCACATGACACCTCTGCACAACCATGTCCAGTAAGGCTATGGGAATGATGAATGAGTTCTGCAGAGAGCAACTGTGTCTAGCATTTCGGCACGAGTGGCAATGTTATCAATCCCAAACTGCAGTAATCCTTCGAGCAGATGAGATGGGTGATGAAAAGCTCTCAGGAAATGAGCCTGAGTAGTGGTCGCTGAGCAGGATAACAGCATACTTGAAGAGTATGCAGATACAATTTTAACTTGAACTGCTAGAATCGCCGGAAGTGTCCCCTCTGACCACAACATGGTCCTTTCCAATGAAAGCTGGCATCATTTCCTCGCTTATGATTCGATCGAAACCACGCATATAAAGACTGCGCAGCTTGTCCAGAAGGTTGGGACCTTCAAAGGACACCCAAATCCCTTTCCCGTTAGTAAGCGTAAAGGAATCGTCCACAGGATTCAGGTCGCGCCCCAACGTAGCAAGAGCAGCATTCCAGTTATGAAGGCGCCGTTTTGAGTCTTTGTCAAGGGCTTTTCGGTCGCCTGGATCTTCTTTTCTCACGACGGGAACTTCCAGTGTACCCGGTTCAATCTGCAAGAGAAATGCAGAATTGAAGCTTGCGTGCAAGTGACACAAGAAGGGTGTTTTATACTAAAGTATCGTCACAGCATTTCAATCCTTCTTTGCTGAATGGATACTGTAAAAAAATGGGAAAAATGATGAAAATATCAAAATAACCCTCTGAAGATGTGAGTGTTCTGCTAAGTGGAGTTCATTCCACTCATATTTTAACGGTTGGCTGTACTTCTGGAGGATTGTGAGGCTGCGAGGAGCTGCGAAGAGACGGCCATAACGTCAAGTGTCCCCACGACGGAAGCAATATGTCTGTCCAGCTACTCCCCTACATCCCTTTCACATCCCCCGACAGAAAAGGCACTCGGAAAGCAGGAGCGTTGCGTGCTGCTGGTGGTAGTGTTCCTAGAGCACACTGCAGGACTCTTGCCACAGCTGGCACACTCATTTTCCAATACGTTAAATGTCACCTTTTCTAGTTCATGACACAGCCACTAGCCACACACGACACTAAGCACTGAGTGTCGTGTGTGTTACTCGGGTGGACGTGCGAGTGTTTGAGAGAGTGAAGGTTGCGCTGATTAACATGCAATATGACAGCCATTAGATGCAGCAGCTTATAAAAAATGCATTAAATTCATAGTTTTCTGCTAGTTTCTGCCTGAAATTAAGGTCTCACCAATTTGAGCACCCAAACTTCAAAGTGGGCTGAAAATCCTTGCAGTGAAAATTTTGTTTATTATTTCCTTTAGCGAGCACTGGCATAAGTTTAAGAAATTTTTGCTTTGTTCCTGCACGGCTGTGAGACCTGAGGAAGTATTAAACATAGCCAATCCAGTGATACACTTGGCCCACTTGCCATGACACCTTCCCTTGCACAGCGCAGGTATCAGCCAAATGTTGCAGAAGCATTTTGTGTGATTTTAGTAAATTACTACAATTCTTGATTGTTTCTGTAGTCTGTGCTATTTTAGACCTTGTTAGTTTACTTTCAACTGGTTCTGAGCATTCCTAGCCTTGTTTTTAGGCTTGTACTGCACTGCATGTGACATGCATCAGTGGACGGATAACAAGCCGGATCCTAAAGTGCCTGCACTAACGGCATTGTGGTGCCTCTGAATGCAGGGAATACATTCTTAGTACGAGTGCCCTGAAAGAGAACTTTTGGTTTTGACATTGAGTGGGCAGTTTCAAGGTGATGCATCAACGCAGTTTGTCCAAGTCGTGTGGAGTGACCACTCGTGAAGTACCTTCAGGTCTGTTGTCTGCCCGTCAAACACGATGATTGTCATCCAGCGACTCCGACAATGTTACAGTGATATTGACTGTGTGTAGCACACACTATGTCATATATCCAACAAACTCTGTTGACTTGTCAAGATAATGTCTATTGCAGAGAGGCTGCTATGCAGATGCAGGGTGCTTTGAAATTGACCTAAATTCATGATGAATTTCATGAAACGCTCCCAATTCACAGAGTTAAGCCCACTCAAGGCAGGAGCTGTCTATTTTGCACGCATTTCCTTGGTCTGGCATTTTCAGTGTTTCAACAACTCGGAGTTTCTGAGATAAATGCTGATCTACCACAGCAAGCAGGTCGCAAGAAAAAAATTGGACTTACTGTTTCCTAAAAGAAAAAAAAAAAACTTAATCGACGACATCGAATATGTAAGCTTGCCAATTTCAAGGGTTGTCGTGAACCTGTATGCACACTGCATGATGATCATAAGTAATTGTTTCCTCAGAAAGGCACAGCTGAAAGTCGCGCAGACTAGCGGCGTTCAGGAGTGAACTAGCCAAACTGTCGCTCGACAGCGTACCTGTATCAGCAAGTGCGAGCTGCAGCAGGCGTGGAACACCACCTCGAGGTCTCCGTTGGGCACGTCTAGTTTCTGCATTGGTGCGTCCGCCGTCGCCCTTTCCAAGGCCAGCCGCAAGCGGCGCACTGCGCGTTCCTGCGGTGCAAACATGGTCACGAGTGGCAGCCCAGGCCACAGGGCCACGTAGTACGCCTCGTGATCGGCAGACAGGCTCTCCAGTCTGTGCACGAGCAGACATGCGAAGACAGTGCCCTCGTCCAAGGTCCACGTTAGCGTCACCTCGCTGCCGTCAAAGCGCAGCACCGACGCCGTGCGTGACAGGACCCGGCCAAAGTCGGAGAGAACCTCAGATTTTTGGAAGCGAATGGCGTGCCACGGCCGAATGCTTCTACGCGGCAGCAACCAGCAGTGTAGCCAAGCGAGGCACTGCAGCCGTTGGCTCAGCACTGCGGTACGTTGCAAGGCGCGGATGATGTTTCTGACGGCACGGCGACGCGTGCAGTTCTTCAGCAGCGGTAGCCACGGGACGAAAGCGTCGTCCAAGGTCCAGAGCAGGGCCGGCGACAGTTCCTCGAGCCACGACTCCAAAAGTGCCAGGTCGGCAGCTGTCATCGTATACAACGTCGGCTACCCGCCGCGTCGCTTCTTGTTGGCGCGTTCGTAGCGAGCGCGGACAGTCCGCAACACGGAGGAAGGAAAGGTCCGCAACGTCGGAACTCATCGCACCGAGACAGATAAGTGAAGCAATAATGGCGAAGAGTACATGTAGATGTATGTAATATCCCTTTAAATGGGCGGCGTGTGCCGCCACCTAGCTACCACAGGCAGAATAAAAGAAATGTTTGTATTCGTTTTTTTACGACCCTAAATTTTTTTTTTGCTATGACAACTTGTATGCACTGATTGGCTACAGTGAGGTTATGGTGGCTAGAAATGTGCGCCGAGGTAGCTAGAAATGTGCGCTAATTGACTAAGTGAATTGCCATGACCTCTCTGATTGGCTTAAAATTCCGTCTTTACAAAATTTGACAACATGGCGGAATTAGACAGTGTCCAAATACCACCCCTGGATTAGAGTGTACTAGAAGTGTTGATTGGCGTGACCGCACCTCGCCGCCTGATCCCTTTCCTTTCATTTCTTGATACCTTTCCTTCCTCCGTGCTTAGAGGTGTGCGCCGAGGCGATTTCGACCGGCGGCGGCGTGGGGGTCGTCCAGAGTCGGCGGCGGCGGCGTTGTCGGCGCACGCCGGTTTTTTCATCGGCGGCGGCGTGCGGCCAATTTTCGTCGGCGGCGGCGGCGTCGGCGGCGCAGAAACCGAAACTGAAAATTCAAAAGGCTCTTTTGCCACAGGTTACTCAATTCGTTGAAATTCAGGGATTTTCATCCAAATAGCATAAATGACACTACACAGATGTATCGACATCCCTATGAATGGAAAGCGTTTGGTAAAATAGTTTTTATTTTGCATTCATAAAAAATAACGCGTATTTCAATATAAGTGCATGTTCTACCGTGAATGTGCAGCACTTTGCTTTTTTTTAATTTAAGATGCAGCAATTTGTTGCTGTTGTTGGCTATGTCATACTTTATGAAACCTTCTTTCATTGAACAATGAGCAAGCAGTGACGCACGTCACTCATTTCGCTTTTTCCGAATCCGATCTTACTTTTACACTGTACGCTGCACAAAAAAGAAGCACCTCTGCTTCGAGTTTTTTTGTTGCGATTGCATGAAACCGATTTTTTGAGTATCTGTCATGCTTTGAATGTAACTTTCCTTCAAACGAATCAAAATACCTACTTTTCACAATGTGAGAATCTTTTATGCAGCGGTATAGGATGTGGAAGGAAACAAATCTGCGCATTTATTCAACTAGTTCTCAGCGCGGTGTTCAATGAATGAAGTGTATACATGGGCGTGGGCGAGGCGGGTGGTGCAAAAAGGACACTTGAACCCTTCAAGCTCCACCAGCACTTGCTACCCACTCTGGCGACACCAACACGACCTACTCCCTCAGTCGTGATGCAAGTTGAAAGAAGGGTTTGCATCCCCCCAAGACAAAAACCTGTCGATGGTCATATGTGCAGATGAGAGCAAATGCAATATTTGCTCAGATACACAACCCATACTGGTCACGAGCTGGGCGTCCGTTGACCACGCCTGCAGAAAACGTTGACTCCCCGACCCCTTGGTGTTTGGTCAGGGGAGGGAAACACCCCTTGCAAATGGGCCCCATTAAAATTTCTCATAAAAACGTCACAAATAGGAATGCTTGATAAGTATGTATAAAACATTCAACTGTTCAATGCTTTTTTGTAGCGTGTTCACGTGCTCAATACCCATCAGATGTGCGAGAAATCGAAATAGCAACTGCCACTCTCGACTTGTTCCGGAAAAAACACAACAGAACAATGCAATTACGAGTGCTGGGAACCTTTGTTTTTTTGTATATTTGATTTCTAGGCATGATTTGAATTATTATATAAACAAAATTAAAACCTGCAACATATTAAAAAAAGGCTGCTATTGCAAGATGTGTGTTGCAAGACGTGATTTTTCTAGACTTACGTCTCTGCAAGGCACATCTGGTGTCACAAGCTTGTAAGTGTCCCCCCTTTTCCCCACGACATCTCCCGATCCCCCCCCCCCCACCTCTCTAATAAAAAGGCCCCAATGTAGGCCTCCGTGATTGCCTACTGGCGCGCGGTGGGCCCTTCCGGTGGCTAGGTCCAACAGTGGCGATTTCGACTTGCTTTATTGGAGGTGCTGAAGGATCAAGAAAAGGCCGATATTTGTAAATTTCTTGAGAGTTCAGTGATAGTTTCTTCATGAATACCGTGGATTATTGGACCTCACTTTGTGTATAATGCTCCAATAAAAAAAATGGTTTCATCCTGTGTCACTGCAGAGTCAGAAGCCATCACATGTGCAGGCATCATTAAGCTTCTATATGACATTGCTAAGGTTCAGTACATTTGTACAAATAATTCTCGTTAACTGAACATTTTGAGTATAATCCTTGCTTGGGTTAGTATGTGTGAAACATAAATTTGAGATTTAAAATTATCATTGTGGGTTTCTGCAGCAAAGACACATTGATTAAAACTGATGACTCCGGAGCTACGGCAGAGGTAACATTCGTTCTGTTTTTTTTCGGTTACGGTAACGGTAGTGAGTTTCCTTTTTTATGTATCTATATAACGTGGAGCCGTGAAACGTTCCCCTTTTTCTTATTTGAGTAACGAGTGAGGTATTTAGTTACTTTTTACTGTAACGGATACATCAATAAATAGACTTACAGGAGTGATGTCGGCCGACACCGTCAGTTGTTCCGGTCAATAGGCTGGCTGTAAACATTACATGGATATATTCCTTTCACCCAGCACGTGATAGAGAAGGGTCACTCGACCATTAAGGACCTCGACCTTTGAGAAATACACAACAGCTTCTTAATGATATGCATATCATCCCACCGAAGCGTGCACTTCGTTTCATTAATATTTACAGTCAACGTGAGTGCTGTCGTCACGCCGTATGTTTTAGGTAGAAATTTATCCTACTCAAAATACCCAAAGACGTCGATCCACCTTGCAACGCGTGGCCACCCACTGACGGTTCTGTATGAAAATGGCATCCACAGTGAAACATGTTGCATCTGCTGAAATTTTATCGCAACATTATTATACTGCCACGCTCACTTGTATTTTTATGTCACTTGTCTTGCGCAAAGGCACTGCCGTAGTGGTTCAGTAGCTAAGGTACTCGGCTGCTGACCCGCAGGTCGTGGGATCAAGTCCCACCTGCGGCTGCTTTATTTTCGATAGAGGCGAAAATGCTGTAGGTCCATGTGCTGCGATTTGGGTGCATGTTGAAGAACCCCACGTTGTCAAAATTTCTGGAGTCCTCCACTACGGCATCTCTCATAATCATGTGGTGGTTTTGAAACGTTAAACACCACATATTAATCAGTTTCCTTTCGCAAAGGACGCTTGGCTGTCTGCGAAAACTCTACATTATTTTAGAATCTCCTGATAAGCTTGAGACACCTACGATATGAATGCTACGCGTATAAATGGCGACGTACCTTCGCGCAGATCATTTTACCGACGACCAATGCTCTAATTGCCGCTATCTGTGTAAAGCACGAATTTCTAGTACTTTGCACTTTCCTATGCACATGTTCACTCAATAAAAAGTGTCGTCTTGAGCAACCCACGTACCATATTTTTTGCCGTCGCAACCACGTGACAATGCCGTAAGTGACATGAGAACGCTGAAATGATCGATACAAAACAGTGAGATGGGGCGTAAGTGCACGCCCAAGTTTGATTTGAGATGCGTATACCACAAGCTATTTTCTTCTATAGAACCAATATGATGCGGATTTGTTAAAATACTGTTAAGTTGAATGTCAAGAAAGGAAGAACACCAACTTGGAAAGAGACAGTGGAGACGAAAAGTGATAGCTATTCACGTAAAGTTTGATCGGTCATTCCACTATCTCAGGTGTATTCGAAAAATGTCGCGCTGATTTACTCTATTGAAAGCAGTCTATTGCGAAAATGTTTTGCAGAGAAAAATATTTTTATAGGTGACCGAAATTCCGGCTATAGGATGGGCCCTATATCGAGTCATAAGATAAAAGCACATTTACCGAGTGGGTCTATGTGGGCTCCATTTATTTTGCCGACCTAGTGTTCCGAATATTTAAAACCTCTTGACCTTCCGGCTTGTATAGCCGAGAATTTTATTTTTCGAATTATAAGACTGTTACTACCTCCCCCTTTCCCGGAACTCGTTCTAGGGTTGGTCCTTTGAAAAAAACCAGTCATATATCTTTAAAAAATGCTTGGATATTGACTATTCATAACTCTCATTTAAGGATGTGGAAATGAAATGACCATCACTAAATGACTGATGAGGTGAAATATTAACATTAAAAAGCATAGTAAACGTGACTAAAAAGCTAATTCTACAAAAACAATGTAACCTGAACTAATGAAGTCACCATACATCTAAAACCTCATGCAATGTATATTGCATACCTGCAAGGTGCAGTTATTCAGGCGCTTTTTGCACTGAAATTTGGTCACGGAGTTAATCCCGTTCACGGTGATGCTATTTTTAATTTTAACGGTTGAATATCTAACGAAGCATTAGGAAATTCTTTGCATGAAACACGTATTTTTTTTTTTTTTGCGATGTAATTGAGCATTGTATACATTGTGCTGACACGAAGTTTAATGCAGGTGATGTCTTTATATTGTACACCGTTCGGTGACTGTGGTAAAATAGAAACAGCAATTTATGTTAATTCATGCTACAAAACTCACGTGACCTGCTCCCAGAGAACAGAAGAATGCATAACGAAGTGCGTTACTAATGAACGGAAGAATTAAATAATTCTCGGTCTTTAATGTTGTTTCTGTAGTCCAATCTACAAACGTTCGTATTAAACGAGCATGACGGTACGAAGGCATGGAATTGGGTTCTGCAGCATGTTGTGACACATGTGGCACTGCAGGTCACATTTATTACGCGACATCGGAATCCACACTGAGCTTGATCTATGATTATCTACTTAATCAACGGAGTATGAGTGCTAAGCTCCGGTTTTATTATTAATGTGGCTTCCAGGACGAGAAAGCAGCACGATTCGCGAGCAATCGAGCACCCATTCTGTCTTTCTATTGCGTTGAACTGCTTGTGCCATCAGATGCCACTTCAGTTTTTTCTTGAATAATTGTGGTGATTGGGAAAGTTGTGAGTGCCAAACAAGACGTTAACAAGAACGAGAGAGACAGGAC